TGTAAAACCATAGGAGGGTTAAGGTAGTTGACACTGTTAGTCCTAATCTTAACACCCCGCCTCCCCTGGACACAGGATCAGCAAGGGAGCCCTCCGTCTGTCAGGCCCAGCGGTTTCTCCCGTCTCTTCTCCAAGACCAAAAAGCGAGCCACGCAAAAGTTGCTGCAGCAGCAACAACAGCAGCAGCAGGCAAAAGCCGCGGCCAGTGGCGAAACCGACATGGTGTACATCAATGCAAAGGACATTACCAAAGGTACGTCGGCCGGTCTAGCCCGACCGTTTCCGGCACCCATGTAGCCAGAAGACAGCGGATCTGTTGTTAAGTCAGTCATAAGTCACTCAGAAACCACCTTGTTTCACGTTAATGCACATAAGTATATGTACATGTAACGCAACTGAACTGTGAGAAATCCATCCCAGTGTCACAGTTCAATCCTTGTCAGGTTTGTCGTGGCTTGTGACTTAATCTCACCGGGAGAACATTTCTCAGAGCTGGTTAGCTCTTCATGTCAGAGGATCACGCTTTGAGTGAATCTTAGTCCGCATCCCAAATTCTTGGTTGTAGCTGGAAATTTTACATGAGTCTATTGGAAATGAAGCCGCTAGCTGGCGGCTCGCAAATCATGCATGCATGATTTCCAATCCAGACACAAAAGTCAGACACGACCTGAGCTAGGGCTGTAACTACAACTACATGTAGCACAGTGTTCCTGTTGATGCCAAAATGGCTCCTGTTAAACTTGCCTCCCGTCAACTCCATCTCTCTCTGTCGCTGATTTCAGGCAAAGAGATTGGCCAGGGAGAGTACGGCTCAGTCCTGCAGGGCAAGTGGCGGCACCATGATGTGGCCCTCAAGACGCTGCACCAGGATCACCTGCAGGCCGGCCGGCGGGAGTTCATCCGAGAGGCGCGGGTCATGCATGGCCTGGACCACCCCTGCATCGTCAAGCTGCACGGCGTGGTTCAGGGCCCGCCCATGATGCTGGTGAGCAGAATGTTGCCAATGGGACCTAATTTACATATCGGCCAAAAATCTTGCTTACCAGATTTATTTGCTAAGAAACAACTAGCAAGAAACAACACATTGTACAATTCATACACACTCATACCTTCCAATGGAATTACCATTTTCCTGAACCACCAGAATATAAGGAAGCCAATTTTTTTCTGAATTTTTATGAGGGAGAACTGTTCTTCTACATGCAGCTCTCTAAAAGTTTCATTTCTTTAAAAGCATTTCACTTCTGTTTCCTCCTAATTCTAAAAATCAGTTGTGCTATCTCTTGACTTCTTTTCCAAGCAGCAGTATTTCTTGGATTTGAGTTTGGGAAGGTCAAAATGTGAACAGTTTTTACCCATAAAAGCATCTCCCCTGTTTCCTTAAAAGTGTTGACAATTTTGATTCCTCAAAAAAAAAGAGACGGAAATAGATAACTTGTCTCTGTAAGGAAAACTCCTGTCCCCAGCTGGATTTGCACCGCTGTTTCTCAGCCCTGAAGTTAAATCATCAACAGGTGCAAGAGTTGGTGCCCATGGGCTCTCTGCTGGACCTCCTGATAGACCACCCTGAGTATGTGTCTGAAGAGAACAACAGGCTGTGGGCAGCCCAGATCGCCTGCGGAATGATGTACTTGGAGACCAAGAAGTTTGTCCACCGAGATCTGGCCGCCAGGAACATCCTGCTGGAGAGCAAAGAACAGGTGAGGTTTTTAGTCGGGGGCTGCGGAATGAGTGTCAGTGTCTGTGCGTGATTCTAGATGATCCATGGTGCAGTCCGAGCGTGTTCACATGTTCCTTCAGGATTGTCAGTCTGGGGGAGGAGGTGGGGCTCTAGATTGGATCTGTCGAACTTCAGTATTTGGGAGGCTGTGGAATAAGTCTTAGCATCTGTGAAAGATTCTAGAAGCTCCTTGGCACGATCTGACGTGTTCACTTGCTCCCTTAGGATTTCCAATCAAGGGGCTGTTGAATGAATTCTGTGGAACGTCAGGTTTGGGGGGCTGCATAATGATTCTACAGGTAGATCTTTGGTGCAGTCTGGGCATGCTCACATCATGTTCGATTGGGGTTTACATGCGTGGGTTTGTAAGACAGATTTATAGAACGATATGCAGAGCAGGTCAGTTTTTGGGGGCTGGAAAATGAGTTTCACCGCTGTATGTGGAAAATTCTAGAAGATCCTTGTCATAGTCTGAGTTTTTCTTATGGCCCTTCTGGTTGTCGGAATTGGGGTTGTAGAACAGATCAATAAAAAGGTTTGTGGAGCTCAAAACTCATCCGGGACAAGTTGCGGGTGGCAACACTGACTCCACCCGCAAGAAGCCCTGCATTTGACCGGGACGAGTGAATGGCTGGTTTATATTTGGCCTCAGTGCACACAACAGGTGGCTCCATATAAGTTGTTCTATTACAATGTTTACTGTCAGTACCGTAGACACAGCGTGTCCTTGAGTGCCCAGCCGTGCTCAAAACCCCAGAAGGGGGACATATGTAAACAAACTAATCACCTCATTGCGGAAAGATTGCGGACAAGATGGTTAAGAGTCCCGCTGCTTAACCCTCAACAATGTCCGCAACTTGTAGCGGACAAATTTTGAGATGATTCCTAAGTATGTGGGCTTTGGAAAAATCTGTTGGATGGATTGTGAAACAGTAGGGTTGATTCAGTATTTGATACTAAATTGTAGTCTGTGATCATTGTCAGTGCCTTGACATTTTATAACGCACTTTTTTGGGCCAGTTTTTAAGCAAATTTGAAAGTGTTCAGACTTTTGTTAATAAGGCATCATTTGAGGGAATTTTTTTGACTTATCATCTATCTTTTTTTACGTAAAAAAAATAGCCCATTTAACACTTTGTATATGAAATTTGTTCTTGCAGGTCAAGATCAGTGATTTTGGTTTATCTCGAGCGACCGGTGAGAACAACGACTATTACCGAGCGACAACAGGGGGTAGATGGCCTGTCAAATGGTACGTTTGTGAATGATACCCTGCTTAGTGTCAGTTTTGCCAAACTACATCCGTACACGTGGTGTTATCCAATGGTGACTCTGCATCTGCGGAGCAATCTTTCTTGATCCATTGTTACAGGCGCGTCCTTCCTTACGTTGTCACTGTCCTGCCAGTGCATTATGAGTTGCCCGTTTGGAATCTTAAATGCGGAGAAGATTCAAACTTGTTTCTTTGGCTGCCATACTGGTCAAGAATCACTTGTTGTAAATGTCACCGGCTGAAAATTTGCCAGTTTGATTAACAATTGCTCCTGATATTGCATTATAATCAATTATGTTAGTAACCCTCGTACTGTTGGCTTTCTCAAAATCTTCTGTTCCTTCATAACCCTATAGAGCTGTGTCTATATGCGGAGATTTTGATTGCCCTGTTGCTTTTCCAAGCAGCATTGCAAACAGTGTAAGGGTTTCATCTACAAACTAGTTGAAAAAACAGTCATTCCGTCTTTTAAGGTATGCACCAGAGTCCATCTACTTTGGCACGTTCTCCCATGCCTCGGATGTGTGGAGTTACGGAGTCACGCTGTGGGAGATGTACACCTTCGGGGACCAGCCGTACGGGGACATGATGGGCGCCGAGGTAAAATCACGCCCTTGTTGGTTTTTGTGCACATTCAAACGAAAATTGATCATGAGTGTATTGTGCTGCACATGCACTGGAAAGTGTGTGCAGTGTGTCAGCCCACACTTTGCTGAGGCAGGTAGCACAGCGAAGGCTTTTGAATAAACCCTGACGATATCCCCAGTCAGGCTATCATATCCTGATATGCATCCCATGTGGACATATGTCCATTCGCTTCTTGAAGCATGGTGGACATTACTGCAGAGCAGGCTGTGTCAGTGATACACTTCTCAGCCTGTCTGTTCCACTGGATCTCAGAGTCGACCATCTTGAAGTACAACAGCATAACAGTTCTCAGAGTGGGTGCCCTGCAGGATAAATAAGGATAAATTTACAGGCTGTAGTAGTGGCTATGTCAGTCTTCCAGTTCATAATACCAAACTACCCTTCTCTGCAAAATGGCATTAAACGTCCTGGAAATTGTCAAATTTTAGTCCTGGAAAAGTCATGAAATTCAAAAGTCATTGATTCTTTCCACTTTCTTGCCCCCCCCAGGTGATTCAGATGATTGAGAAGGGTGGCCGCTTGCCCCAGCCTGAAGACTGCTCCCGCAAGGTCTACGACATCATGCACCAGTGCTGGTCCTACAACGCCAAGGACCGGCCCACCTTCATGGAGCTCAACCAAACTTTCAGCGAGGACCCGGACTACCGGGAGTTCTACCACGCTGGTCTGAAGCAGGCGCCCAGTCGAAAGAGATAAAAAGAGACGAGCTGTCACGAAATACAGGGGGATTGTGAAGGGATCCAGGGGGTAGGTGTTATAGGTGTGGTAGTAATGAAGAGGGGTGATGACCCTTCGGTGCGGGGTATGTGGACTTGTGGAGGGTCGGAAAAAGGACTTTTTTCAAACCATCTCTTTCCTGCTGCAAAATTTTCCGGCTCTCTTTGTCAACATGACGTCATGATCACTGTTTTCATATTTGGTTAAAGCTTCGTTTCACTTTCATTGACATTATGGAATTTGCAGGCCGAGGCGTTACAGCTGTTTTCTATATCAACTTGTAACAGGATTTACCCCAAGCTGGGGTCGATAGTTGATATTGCATTGCTCCTCACCTGGCTTGTTTTTTAAATAGCCATACTTTTGGTGGTTTTTCAGCTGGTCGTTAAATGTGTCACTTTTGCCTGGTGTAAGGTAAAGGCGTGTTCACACGGTAAGCCTTTCTATGCTTGTGAAAGACACTAACTCGTAGAAACTTTTCTGAAAATACTGGATTTTATTTCGGAGATTTTCAATCAGCTTAGACGAGTTCAAAAAGTTTTATGGGTTCAACATTGGCCTTGCTGGATCGATGCCAAGTTTTGCAATAAATGGTTAATTGATATTAAAATCAGCAAATTCATATTCGATCAACCCAAATTATCATCAAATTATTTTGGAATGAAAGAAGGCTTATTGCATGTACTTGTTCATAGGACCAATCATTGAGAAACATTTTTACTGGAAGGCAATTCCTGAAACTATTAGCTTTATAGTTTATTAACAAGCGCTGTAAAAATAATATAGTATAAAGTATTGAATATCAGTAGAACTTGTATTTAACATATATTGCTTGCCATTACCTCTAGAAGTGCTACTGTCTGTAAATTTAACTCGAATAGCAGATATTTTTGATAACCACTGAGAGCATCTCAAATACATGTAATCTTATAAGCTACAAGGAACTTTCGATCACATGCAGCACAGTCTGGTCACATGACCCCTACCATGTTTAACCACAAACAGAAACCTTGCATGAAAAACTGTGTTCTATTAACTTGATTTCCTCGCATTGTTTCTGATTACTGAGTTTCCAAGCGATTTTAAAACAAACGAGAATATTCCACTAAGAAATTGTTCTTGTCTTAAGACAATCTTATAGCAAAAGAATGTTTTTGCTGGGCTTTGCAGCTCTTGTAAATTTTGTTTTTAAGAAAACTAGGCCATTTTTTCTGTTTTCATGTAGCTACTTACGAGCAAACTTACTTAAGCATAAATATTTTTGCATGCGCCGCTGCTGAAACCCAATCTTCCTACTCAGATTTCTCCCAAAAGAATGCCTACACAGATTATCCTTGAATTCTTTTCAATTTTCTAGGAAAAAAGTTCAAATTGTCTGGATTGTGACTTGAAAAAGTAGTATTTGCACTTAACTCTACCCCCCCACATTTTTATTGGACTTTTTGTGGGATGCTTTTTTCTTCCCGCACCAGACCTTGAGCAGTTTTCCAGTAACATCTTGTGGTCATTTGTTTTGTGAAAATCAGAACAAGCGTGCCATTCCCACGAAACGCTAGTTTTCTCCCAAGATGGATCAGCCTGAAATGCGTACTTTCTCCATTGACGTGCTCGCTGCACGTGGGCTGATATGCATGGGGCCATGAATTTCAAACAACCGTAACTGTAAGAACCCTATTTCAGATTGAAAGGAACCTTCACTGATGTACTCAAAATGAGTATTTTCACATGCTTGCCGAGTTTCAAAAAGATGAGGTGCATTTCAGCTGAGTTATTAGGGTCTGAAAAAGGCCGTCTCTTTTAGGGTTAATCGGATAGACGACCAGTCTATTCTGGGGATTGTTTCTTTTCTCATAAACATCAGTTGCATTTTCAAATAGATACTTAAAAAGTGTACCCATACCAAAGTCCTCTCTCACCGGAGTTACTTGTAATTGGTTGAACTCTGCGTACATTATTTTTTACCTTGAGAGTTTGGTTTATATCTTTCGTCTCAAGTTGGTGGAAACAGCCTTGTAGTTTGGGTGTTGTAATTGAAGGATGAGTGAAAACAAAATTGTCTCATCTTGGGAATGGTCAAATGTTCCAAGATCCTATTTTGATTTAATTGTATTGTTTTAGGTTAAACATTTTTTCCACTGTGTATTGTGTTGGTATTGCACTTTATATTGCAATAAGATTTACACTTAGTTGTTTTCTTTTATGATATATATTTTGGTTAATTTTTTCATTACCATTTGGACTGTGTAATTAAAGTTTAAAGTGTTAACCTTGCTATTTTTTTTTTTTTTTTTTTTGGTGAAAAAGTTTGTTTCATATGCTGTTCTTGTTCATGCTCAGGTTTTCGTTTTTTTTTTTTCAATCTAGTATAGTTTTGTGATCTTCAGGGGGTAGGCGGGTGGGGACTTGTTAGATGTTGGTGGAAACTTCCAGCTAAGTAGCTTGTGAAACTCCAGTTTGCGGATTGCAGGTTAAACTGTAGGCTATTTTGCGAGTTTAATGTGAAATCTTTGGCCGATGAAAATTCTTGTCGTTGGATGCACGAGTCAACGTTGATAGTCTTATTTGGCCACAGAAAATCCACATTCAACTTACTTCAAAAGGGGCTCTTCAAAATGTAATTATGTCCACGGTTGAATTGCAAATGCCACAGAATATCCATATGTGATAATGGACAAGGAATGTGCCATCGCGGAACGTCCTTAATTTTGTATAGGAAGTTCCTACATTTTGCCATGGAAATTCCATTGTGGTCGTGGAAGCAGAGCTTCCGTTTCGCTGTTTTCAGCAATGTTTGCAGCCTGTCGTAAAACACAGACTTTTAAGAATTTTTTACAGAGATGTGCTGGAACACGAACCATCGACTCCACAGTGATCTGTGAGTTGTTTTATATACAAAGTGGTAGCTCTTGCTGGCAAGGGAAGGAATCATTTAAATTGTAGTGCACTTTGACCTTTTTTTGCTTTTACAGAGATGAGTCATTCCATATGGTTGGGGCACAATTTGTGACGGTGTCCTTTGTTACGTGGGTTCCGTAAAAATGAACAGCTATTTCCCCGCACGTGGTCTCCAAATTCTACATCTTGCAAGGCTGAATACAGACGTGCGTGTTACATTTGCAGAGTAAATGACCTACTCTACAGGTCATGACAGGTGGTAAAACTTACCCATGTAACAAGGACACCATCACAAATTGTGCCCCAACCTCGTGGAATGACCCAGACGCAAGTTCCTCTCTATTTGAAGCAAAACTAATAGCATGTGTCGATGGGCAAGACGGTCGCACATTCATGTGTGCTCAAACAATATCCGCACACCAAATTTACATTTTGTTTGTTGAATTTGAATCTTGGTGGTAACCAAGAACAATTGTACCGTTCAGGTTACATCACAGCATAACAGGAATCAGCTGACGCTATGGCTTTCAACTCAATTTCAGCATTCGCTTGAGCATTTTACAGATGTATTTTTTTTGTTGATGTAATAAAGAATTATAACCAAAAACTTATTACCAGGGTGTCCTGCTTTTTCTGAGCTTGAGTTTGGATCACAAAACTGAAGTCTGTTTTTCAATCCACTGCAAACATCTTCAAATATTTACGAAAACCTTCAAATAAATTATCAAATATTCAAATATCAATAAGGCGGGGGGAAGTCAATCTTCTGCAAAGTATTAAGACTAAATGCACGACACAACGATATCAGTAAACAAACCTAGCTCTTTCAACTTGATTGTAACTCTTATGATAAAAGTTTTGTTAAAATTCATTTGTATGCATTGCTTGATTTCATTAATCTGCTTATTTTTGAGACTTCGTGTATCATCAAGAAATTAGTCTTTGAGGAATCGCTGGCACACCTACGTGATGACATTGACGGAGTAAGTACAATGGATTTTGCTTTTATTACATGTCTGTATTCGACTCTTTACAGGAATAAAATTCATAGGCTTAGTTCTTTAGTTGAGAATGACGAGACCATGGAGAAAGGACAAGACTGACCACGTTGAGACTAATCCTGCATGTAGGACTAGGATCAACACTGTGCACACCTACACTCACTGGCTAGGCCTACACTCACTGGCTACAGTACATGTGCATGGCCCATTTCTGTGAAAATGACGAGTAACTTTAGTAGGCTTATATGCATTATTTCCAGAATTCTAACATTGAATATACGTTTTATTTACATATGTAGGCCTACTGATATTTGCATGAGATGCCTGGCCTATCATTTGTTTAAGTGTGACACAAAAGTCAATGAAAAACTTGTTTCCTTATATACATGTACTATGTGACTTCTTTGTTAAGTTGTTGTCAGTTGCTATGGAGATCAGTGGATTTTCCAAGACTTAGAGTGAACTTAGGCTTGGACCTTCTGGGCTCGGACTCGAACATTGAGAGCTTGGTTACAAGCCTAACATTGTGCAAGCCCCCCCCCCGATTTTTAACTTTATTACTGGAGGTCTATGCGTTTATATACCTAGCAAAAATCGTATAGCGCCGAAGGCGCAAGATGGATAACTCTGCCCAAAAGGCGCAATTACCATAGGCGCCATTTGAGCAAGCAATACGCCTGCGCAGTTTATGGAAATGCTTAGGCGCACCAGGTGTACGGCCTGCCTAGTGCCTCTGCAGCACCTGCGCCTGTCCATTAATAATGTGCATGAGATCAGTGGTTACACTACACGAAATACGCGCCCATAGAAATAGTGCAAAATCCGACCGAAATAGCGCCGCCTGTTTTTTTTACTGGAAATTCAAAATCATGGCCAAAAGATCACTTTTCGTTTCAATTTCATGGGGGTTAGCCACGAAAATCTTTCACTGATGATGGAAGATACCCCCAAAGCAGCAGTAAAACTAAGCGCTCATTTCTGAAATTGTAGCCGCCTGTCTCTATCCAAAATAGGCCCGCAATTTGGGGGCTTTTGTGAAAGAAATACCCCGAACTGGAAACTACCACTCCCAAATTCGGGATTTATAGAAATATTTCTATGATACCTCCCGATTATGGCATGTCTTATTTTAAAACCCCCGTGGGATCACACAATATTAATGAGCTCGCGCGCAGAAATACACAACGATTTGGTGGAATGCGCCCTACAACGTTTTACGTATATTCATGGTGAAGTTCTCCATCTTGCGCCGCTAGGCGGCGCTATACGATCTTTGGTCTGCGCAAAATTTGAAATGGGAAAACAGGACACGACAAGTTTGGGATCACTCCTTGGTATGTTTGTAAAGGTACGCTAATTGTCCAAATACAAAAGGATTTGCACGGAATCATGCAAATACATTCTGTTTGTGGATTTTTTAAAGTTTCCATGATTGACTTAGTAGTTTACAGTTTATTGAGTTGTATGTAGTCTGACATGTTACAGCAGAAAAGTGATGTGTCTACGTCTGTGCATTTTCTACATGTCCTTTCTCATTATGGCACTCGCTCAAGGGGCAACTCACCATTCACTTTGTACAGGGATTTGCATGTTTTCCTCCTTTTTTGCTGCAACATGATAAATTTAACTGAAACCTTTTCGGTACAGTGTTGGAGATATTCATAGCGCATAAACAGTGAAATTTAAGGCACATTTGATGTAAAGCCAAGGTTCCGCATAGGCCTATGTCATTTCGACTATTTTTGGAGGTGGAAGTGTTTATACCAAAGATCGTATAGCGCCGCATAGTGGTGCAAGATGGAGAACTTCACCGTGAATTTACGTAAGCCGTTGTAATCGCATGGGCGCCATATGAGCAAGCGATACACCTGCCCCATGCACATTAATGCGCAGGCTACGGCAGGCACATACATAACTGTACAAAGCATACCTCAAAGGCTGGATTCAAAAAACAGATAGCATTGCAACCCCGTATAAACAATCATGGCCACAAGTCACACAAATTGGTGACTTTAGAACATCCTGTAGGCATACCTCACAGTTCTTGGGGTAAACCTCCTAAATATGGCGAATATCTGTTCCCCATCAATCCCGTTAGTACTCTCAGCCTGGACCTGCCACCTAGCCCAGATTGGATGGCGCTTTCTGTCTCTCTGTTAGGGTCATGAACATGTATGAGACCTGGGTGGCACCATGAGAGGGTGCAATTTTCCTAGCAGCGGTGGCTCCTTTGGTGGGAACTGCACCACAGGAGACTATGAAGTACATGCGTCATGGTTGTGTCGCTACCAGTAAATGAACTCTCCTCACCAACATGCATGATGTGGCTCTTTTTGACCAATGAGGGGGTGCTTCTGCTCAAGGCGGATAGACCTACAAGTACATTTCAGAAAGAATTCCGTGATGTATGATGATGTACATTTATCCGGGCTTATCTTCCCAACTCTAGAACTGAACATCTCTTCATTGTCTTCTTCACTCATCATCCTGTAATTGGCGCTAAATACGCTGTTGGATGATCAGATGAATAAATAAAATAAATGTAGATGTAATATGGATCAGGCTTGACAACCTTTGCACAAATGGACCATGGAGGAAGAAACCTTATGACAATGGTCTGAAATGTTTAGGTGTTTTCTACGTGAATACCAGCAACATTTTCACTGGAAAATTTTGACCTTTCAGGACACAATTTTATTGCTTTGAGATGGCTGGTAGTACTTATACTAATAATTTTAGGTCACTGTAGGGGAATGTTAGTGGCATCAGTAATGGATTTCTCTCCATACATGTAGGCCTACAAGGCCCTACACCTCGACTGATATCGACGATATCAAGTAATTTCGCCATTTCATCTTGAATGTTAGTGTTCCCTCACATGGCGCACTTGACAAAATTGCCAAAAACCCCACATAAATATTTGAGAACTTCTGTAAACTTGATCATTTCTATTATTACCTCAATTTACCTACACTTTAAAACAAAAGTTTGTTAGAAAATTATTTTTGATTTTTGGGCAGGTTTAGAAGTGTCTATTTTGCACCGAAGGAAGGAAATGGAGCCAAAATAAAAATTTCGTCAGAAACTTGTAGTGGGTGTGCAAAATCAGGAGGTTTGAATTACACTGGAGATTAGTGGGAGTTTGATGAAATTTAACTTACTTTGAAATTTGAGGTAAAAATGTTGCTCCAGCAAGGCACTGGAGGTAAAAATCAAACTGCGTCAAAGTTAGCAAAGTTAGGGGGCGGGCAGTTAGGGGGACGCAGTTAGGGGGCTTCAACAATAAATGAGGGATGTTGCTGTTACAACAGTAAAAGCTGAAGGGATGCATTGTTTTTTGTCTTTATTGTAGGAGGAAGTCATTAAGAGAAGATGATGGAGCCCAGAACCTGAGTAAGTTCCTTCCCAGCACCAGGTTATTCAATGACAAGCTGGATTGAGAAAGTGACCTTTATTCCTGCAAGTTTACTCATTTTCCCCCGTACTATTACATGTGTCTAAATGCCATCTTTCCTAGATCCTTCAAAATCCACCAGGAGATTTGTGAAAGATTGAGGAAGGAAGAGCCCAGCCCAGCCTCTTTGAATGCAAATGGGACTTGATGTGTCTGTAGAATTTTGGAGAATGTATTATTCTGGGGAAGATTTTCCAGGAACCACCGTTGTTCTATGCTGTCCTTTCGTCTTGCTGCTTAACTGATCATTACTTTGTCTACACTTTGTCAGCTCTGACAAGTTTGGCCTCACAGAACATGATGAAGATGACTCTGATGTTAGCCGTAGCACAGACAGTGAAGGTAAGTACATGTACTTTGCCCAAAGACTGTGTGTAAAAAGGCCCTAGATATCCGAAACAAAATTAACAATTCTATACAAACCGTTTGTACTGTGACTTCCTTTGTCCGACAAATTTGACAATCTAATGCAGCTTTCCACGAAGGAAAGATACTGCTTACATTTTTTGTTCATTTTTGTCAACTTTTTTATGATGAAAAAAAGCATCGAAATATGAGTTAAAATTGCAAACCCAAATTTTACAATAAGGTCAATTAAAACTCAAACATGCAATTTCAAGGGTTTTTAGTAAAACTTTTAAAAATATTTCTATATCCTGGTTCCTTTAAATTGTGCCTGAATTCAGCATCTGGCAAACATTCTCATATTCAGTTGAATGCAGCTACAACTTGTCACCCCTGAACTGATGAATTATAGAAACTGCTTGTGTCTGTGCATTGTTTCAATGCTTACATGCATTTCTAATAGTGATTTTCAAAAATTTGAGAAGGCACCTGCTTGAAATAACTGTTTCTTCATGATGACCGTTTACAAGAAAGAACAGTTTCTCACATTCTATCTAAATCAAGTATGCTTTTCAACAACAATTTGGGATACCTTTTGGATAACTGCAAATGATAGACTGTACAGTACTTTTAACCCATATTTTCTTGTACAGGGTTCCCACAGTCATTGAAAATCCTGGGAAAAGTTATCCAGGAAAGCATGAAAAACTCACAGAAAATTAGTCTGAGGAAAAGTCATGGAAATCAAGATCATACAAGGGTGATTTTCATGGTGGTTATGGATAGTGGCTATGGTAGTCTTTGTTTATTATACCAAACAAATTTCTGTGCAGAGTGGCATTAAATGCCATGGAAATTGTCATATTTTAGTTCTGGAAAGTGCGGGAAAGGTCACTAAATTTGATTTCGTGGGAACCTTGCTTGTAACAATCAGGGCCCAATTTCATTGCGCTGCTTGGCATGCAATTTCACACTTNCCCCGTACTATTACGTGTGTCTAAATGCCATCCTTCCTAGATCCTTCAAAATCCACCAGGAGATTTTGTGGAAGATTGAGGAAGGTAGAGCCCAGCCCAGCCTCTTTGAATGCAAATGGGACTTGATGTGTCCATAGAATTTTGGAGAATGTATCATTCTGGGGAGGATTTTTTAGGATTCGTAAAGGTTTCCAGGAACCACCGTTGTTCTATGCTGTCCTTTCGTCTTGCTGCTTAACTGATCATTACTTTGTCTACACTTTGTCAGCTGCGACAAGTTTGGCCTCGCAGAAAATGGTGATGATGACTCTGATGTTAGTCGTAGCACAGACAGTGAAGGTAAGTACATGTACTTTGTCCAAAGACTGTGTGTAAATAGGCCCTAGATATCAGAAACAAAATGAACAATTCTATACAAAACCTGTGTACTGTGACTTCCTTTGTCCGACAAATTTGACAATTTAATGCAGCTTTCCACTAAGGAAAGATACTGCTTACATTTTTTTCTTGTCAATTTTTTTAGGATGAAAAAAAGCATAGAAATATGACTTAAAATTGCAAACCAAAATTTTACAATAAGGTCAATTGAAACTCAAACATGCAATTTCAAGGGTTATTAGTAAAATTTAAAAAAAATATTTCTATATCCTGGTTCCTTTAAATTGTGCCTGAATTCAGCATCTGGCAAACATTCTCATATTCAGTTGAATGCAGCTACACCTTGTCACCCCCAGAACTGATGAATTCTAGAAACTGCTAGTGTCTGTGCATCATGTCAATGCTTACATTTCTAATAGTGATTTTCAAAAATTTGAGATGGCACCTGCTTGAAATAATTGTTTCTTCATGATGACCGTTTGCAAGAAAGAACAGTTTCTCACAGAATTTAGTCCTCTATCTAAATCAAGTGTGCTTTTCAACAACAATTTTGGATACCTTTTGGATAACTGCAAATGATAGACTGTGACGTACTTTTAATTTGTTTGTCCTTGTACAGGGTTCCCACAGTCATTGAAAATCCTGGGAAAAGTTATCCAGGAAAGCATGAAAAACTCACAGAAAATTAGTCTGAGGAAAAGTCATGGAAATCAAGATCATGCAAGGGTGATTTTCATGGTGGTTATGGATAGTGGCTATGGTAGTCTTTGTTTATTATACCAAACAAATTTCTGTGCAGAGTGGCATTAAATGCCATGGAAATTGTCACATTTTAGTTCTGGAAAGTGCGGGAAAGGTCACTGAATTTGATTTTCAGATTTCGTGGGAACCTTGCTTGTAACAATCAGGGCCCAATTTCATTGCGCTGCTTGGCATGCGATTTCACGCTTACAGAGGCTCTGAGTATTTCATGC